AATATATTCTTCCGTTTTTTTTAAGATATTATAAAGTAATTTTAACATATCTGTTTATATATATTTGTAAATGCATTTCAAAAATGTAGATTTGTATTTTTAAAGAAACACAGTATATTTGAAATGTATTTTTAAAAAATATTTTTCATATATTTGGTAATAAAAACACATTTCAACATGCAGTGTATATATATATATATATATATATATATATATATATATATATATATTGAAATATATTGAATATGGCCAAAATTGTAGAATTTCAAATTTATGTCAATATATTTGGGAAGTATATTTTTAAAATATATTTCAAATATATTTTTCTTCCATGTGGATACAACTGAATGGTTTCCAGAGCACGGAAGTTGTGCATTCAGGAAATATATTAATGAATTATAGGTTAACGTTGATGTGCAAAAGCATAGGCATTAACATGAGTACAGCTGCTTTCTGCCATTCACTTGTATGACAGGCTGAATACAGCACCTGGAGTTACTTGGGCAATGTAAAAGGAATTTTTGCTGGGCACATTGTCAGCCTCTCACTGTCTATGTACATAACGCCCTAAATTTACTACCTACATTGAACTACATCACTGTATCACAATGTATCATAATTCAGATGAATGACTATTTATCCAAATCAAAATAAGATGTTTAATCTTAGAGGAGGGAAGCAAATATTATTTAATATAGAATGTGTTTATAGACTAAAGATATTATGCAGAAGTAGTTAATAATCATTCTGATTTACTGAGCCACGTAAAGTGATGGTATTCAAATGGCAGGCCTCCAACCTATACTCCAAGGGGACAAATGACTATAGGTAATTTTTTGATAGTGAGAAATATCCTTTGCAAATGAATGGCTGTGGATTTATTTGGCATGAAGCCAGCCTGATTATAATGCACAATGGGCATAATAACTCCAACCAGTCTGAATGCCAGAACCTTCACTAGGAGTTTAATGTCACTCTGGAGTAGTGAGATTGGTGTATAGGAGCCCGGGTCTATCGAGTCTTTACATGGTTTCAAAAGGAGAATAATGTTTGCTTTATACATAGAAGTAAGCAGAGCCTGTCCTCTAGCAACTGTGGCAATATCAAATAATGTTTGTATATGTCCATGGGGAGACCATCTTCCCCAGCCGCTTTCCAATTTGGGAAGGAACTGATCACCTCCTGTAACTCTTCAATGGTAAGTGGGGCATCCAATCTCTATCTCTGAGCTACAGAGGGCCATAGAAAAGAAATGTGTAGATAACATTCAAGACCTTGGGGCATATTTGATGTTTTAGGGAGGTATAGGTCTTTATAAAATGCCAATTCATGCATCATCAACTCTGGGGAGTGTACCAGAGGACCTGCCTGGGATCTAATTACTTTTATGGCAGGCGATCAGTGGTGGGAATTCACAATTTTCACCAAGGAGGTAGCCAGTTTTCTCCTCTTAAAAAATGGCAGCATGGAGAAAAACCTGCCAAGGAGGAGAGCAAATTCTCATAGAGTGCTGACTGCCAAGCCACCTTGGCAGAGTCAGATGGGTTGGCAATGTAATACTGCTCTAATTGCTGGACTTGGGACTCAACCTAATCCCATAAATCAGACTAAACCCTCTTAACCTTATTCATTTCAGCCAATAAAAGGCCCCTCAGATAATCCTGAAATGCCTCCCATTGTAAGAGAGGGGAAGTAGGTGGGTATTGATGCATAAAGAATTCAGCCATGCTTCTTTCCATCACCTGATGTGATGTAAAAAGTTGTAGTGAAAAGGCATTAGGATTTCATGGAGCTTTAGCCAGGGTAGCAGGTGGTGACACCCAGGGCCTCAATATCAGAGGAGAGTGATCTGAGACACTACGAGGCTTGTAATTAATCTCGGATATATACAGAAGCATGCCGGAGTTACCCGCAGCAAGATCAATTCTATTCAAAGTGCCACGAGACTTTGAAAAACATGAAAATTGTTTATAAGAATAATTTCCAAATGTGCCTCTTTTATCCTACAGGCATCCTCGGAATTCTCAATCCAAGCTTAATGGAAAGGCCATTGCCATATGCAAAACCAAAAGATGTGAGATGTGACTAAAAACAAATACAAGTACTGGACTTACAGACACAGTGGCACTATCACATCACAGGTCATTTATTTTGTGCCTCAAAAATATTGATGGTACTGTGCATAAAGTATCTCTACAGAAAGACTAATATTGAAAAAACTAAACAAAAACCATTCTAAAAGACTAAATCACAACCAGTTTAACTTGCTGAACATATGAAATTATTCTTGATAAAAAGAAACATCAACATTTAAAAAAACACAGGAAATTCTAGATTTGCAAAAAAAGTTTGACGCACCAAAAATAGAAAGGAATGCTCAGACAGGGGTTATGGCACCATTTGTCACAGAGGACAGACTTCTTATACTTTTGCCATTGTACTGCTAATGAGCATCTATTACTGCTGATACCCATCCTTTAGTAATGATTTTCTGCCTCCAGCAGAGGAAACATTATGCCTGTCCTGCCTGCAAGTTCAAATTTGACCACTGGATGTAGCCAGTAATAAATGTACTGTTTTACAGAAACTAGAGACTGTTTAGATGACAGATAAGATTTAATAAAAATCTGAGAGAAAGGAAAGAGGTGCATCTTAGGAGCTCAAACT